GGGGCAAAGGGAGAGGGAGAAGCAGACTCCCTACTGAGAAGGGAGCCTGCCATGGAGCTCAATCACAGGACCCTGAGATCATGACCTGAGCCAAAGGCAGATTCTTCACTGACTGAGCCATCCCGGCGCCCCTCTAATGACATTCTTCATCCAAGTTCATTTTGATGCCACCGTATTTGGAAAGAGTAATTGTCTAAACCCTTGTCCCCAGTCCTACTTCCTGCTTCCGTTTTTATTCAGAGGTTTGTGTAGCACATAAAATAAGGCAGCAAGTGAAGATCAAAAGTTTTGCAGCAGAGTTAGTGTTTTCCGTACCACTTTATAGTTCTGCTTATTTATGGTATAAACTGTATTCAAGTCCCATAAATAGAACCTTTCAATTTAATTGAAAAAAATTATTAAGTGCTCAATGGGTTCCAGAAGAGCAAGAATCTTAGTTGCTTGGAAAGCCTATTTCATGCTTAAAGGCCAGTATGGCCTACCACAGAGCCACACCGCAGACTGCAAATTTAGCAAACCCAGAAACTTAACTGGAAGTCAGAATTGGTCCCATATGATTAAAAACAATTTATTCAATTACTAGATTCCTTCAGGCGGAAAGCTAGAAGTGCTGGGATCTAGGAAACAGATGTGGAAAGCCCAGATTAAGCACATGTGTTAGGACAACAACATATTGTCAAAGAGACAATAAACTGGATTCAGAACTACCCAACGATTTTCTATTTTAACACTATTGCCCTTAAAATGGAAATAGTACCACTTTATGTGATAAGAGAGTTTAGAGACTGATAATCGTACCTTCACAACTATATTCTCATTTAGTCTTCCTAATAATATGATGAACTTATGAGTACACTTTACCTGATTTACTCTGCATATTGCATTTAAATGTTCTTCCTCCAGAAAGCTTTCCCTGATTTATTCCTGCAACCAATATCCATACCACCAAGGACTGGGTTCAGTGTCCTCCACAGCACTGGGTCCTTACCCCTCTCAGCACCTCCCACTCTCCACTGAATTTACCTCCACCATCTGCTGCCCCACACTGGACTTGTAAAGTACTGGAAAGCATGGTCCTATCTATGTAGTTCTATCTAGCTGAATCTTGTGCTCTGTAACTTAGTACAACACCCAGCATGTTGAAGGAGCTGATGTGAATTGAATTACAGAGGTGGATACTAAAGCTCAGAGGACTTAAACATCTTGCCCAAGGCACTAGAATGTGAACCTCATAAGAGTAAAGACTTGGACCATCACATTCAGTATGATATCCCTAACTTCTACAAGAGTGCTTGGTAGGCACTCAAAAATGTTAAATGAGTGAAGGTAATAGGTGAATAGTCGAGCAAGGACATAAGCACAGGTCTGCACTACTGAAACCCTGTACCTTCCTAACATGTCCAAAAACATGAAAGGAGATCAAAAATATCGTTTAATAAGCTCCTACCACGTGCACGGCTCTGTGTCAACCACTTTCACATACATGATCTCCTTTAATCTTCACGACAGGCCTGGGGTTATGTTTGTATGAAGTTGCATTTCTCTTGGGCAAATACCCAGAAGAAGAGAGGAGGTCCTTGTTTAACTTTATAAGAAACTGTCAAACAGTTTTCCAAAGTGATCCCATCTTTTTCACCATCTTCACTGCAGTCCTGAGAAAGTGTGCATTAGACTAGGAAATTAAATCGACTCTCCCTTGACAGAAATACATTTAATCAGCTAAGAGTCCTTGAGACAATTTTGATGTTTTCCTTATCTTTCCAAAGGGCTGCTTGTTTCTGTTTTGTACACTCTATCAGTCTTTAGAATCTGCTGGTTCTGAGCTTATGTTCCAGTTCATTTCGAAGTGCACTGTTTTTTTTCAGCTGTAATCTGATATGTGGAATTTGGCCTTGCTTCTGTACATTTACTGGTGTTCTATGATGCGAAAGCACTTCCAAAATTATAGAAAGAAGAATTGCAAAGTAATTCTGTTGTGATATATATGTTTAATGGCAAAGTTGCAAATTTTATATTCTATTTATTATAATTGTAAGGTATCTCCCTTATTTTTAAAACTTTGGTTGAGGTGGGTGGCCAGTCTATTAAGATTACTGGACATTATCAACACACAGTGTTATTATAGCAACATTTCCCTTAGAGCATTTTTCTAGTGCTAGAACTTAGCTGTGTAATTGCCACAGCCCTAACAAACAAAGCTAAGGAATTTCCCTCTGTGCTTGGGGAATTCCTTGAATTGAAATTTCTCCTTTTCTCTTGCCTGTCTTTAAAACTTAACAATAGATAATAATATTGCAGAAGTATGGGCTGCCATAAAAAATATAATACCACCTGCTGCAAAATTCCAAGGGGACTGAAAATGAAGTAAAATTATTTAGTTTCTTAATTATGAGCTTGGGAATTTCAAAATTTTTATATCAAGTATATTGAGACGATGATACCTAAACTTAAACTATATTATAGAAAAATTTAGGAAAAAACAGAAATGGATTGCTACACAATGTTGTAGGAATAGAAGAGATGGCTCTTCTCACTAAAAAAAAAGATATTTTTCAGGGCACCTGGGTGGCTCAGTCAGTTAAGCGGCTGTCTTCGGCTCAGGTCATGATCCTGGGGTCCTGGGATTGAGCCCCACGTCCGGCTCCCTGCTCAGCAGAGAGCCGGCTTCTCCCTCTTCTTCTGCCTGCCACTCTGCCTACTTGTGCTCTCTATCTATCTGTCGAATAAATAAATAAAATCTTTTTTAAAAAAGATATTTTTCATTCTGAACTTGTACATTTAAGAAGTTGATTGTTCCAATTGTAAATATTTTTTCTAAATAACTGACCATAGATTTTTTTAAGTAGAGGCCATGAATACAAGTGTTGTTTCTTTATGTTTGTTTTGTATTGTTTTGATTCTTTTTTATAGCAATTTACTACTACAAAGGAGTAAGTTAAAAGTTTAGGAGCCACTGAGCTTTGAGGAACAATCAAAAATGAAAATGCATCTGTGTATCCTCTAGCTTAAATAAGCCATGTAATTATCTAATTGAATATTTAATATTCCTTAGTTTGTATCTGTCTTTCCATTACCTCTGGCCTCCCCAACAGTAAAAGGGGGCATTCCATTAGTTAAGCACATTATTTTAAACAAAGACCACCTTTCCCTAGCTCTGTGCATAAATAAGTGTATTTGTGCCAGTTGAGTGCATTTGTGGATTGTGATAAAACTGTCATCCACTAAATTGCAGCCAGATTAGATCATGACAAATGTAGTAGGGATGACAAGAAGATTTCTTGAATGGATATTTGAAATTTTCCATGATGTGAAAGTCCCTGAGCTCCTTGCTCTCATAAGTGATTACATTCTGCAACAGGGGAGACAATATTTAATGATGTGATTAGCAGTTGGTGACATATTTGGCTTCATGTTCCCTTGTGATTGAGTTACTTTCAAGCAGTGCCTTGGGGAGATGTATTAACCCTTTCATGGCCCTCGGATGTAATTCAGTGGAGCACTTCTCTCAGTGCTACTTCGGTGTTTTAGAATAGCGTGGTCCGATAAAATAAATTGCAGGACACGTGTAATTTTACGTTTTCTAGTAGCCACATTTTAAAAAGTGAAAAGAAGCAGTTGAAATTAACTTTAATAATGTATTTCATCTCACCCAGCATGTCCAAAATAGCATGTCAACATGTAATCAATATTTTTTTATTAAGGAGATATTTTAGATTCTTTTTTCAAAATAAGTCTTCAAAATCTGGTGTTTATATTACACCTAAAACACAGCTCAATTCAGACTAGCCACATTTCGAGTCAAGAAAGAGCTTCTTATCTTTCAGCCTGGAAGCCACTCACTTGGTTGAGTCATGAAAATTCCGAACATTTTTTTTTCTTCATTTAGAGCCACATTTCACTATCCTTCAGTCTTAAGTTCACTAGAAAAGGAAGTTTTTTATTTTCATTGTCCATAAGCATTTATTGGAACACAGCCACGCTCATTTGTCTACATAATGTCAATAGTTGAGTAGAAAGGGAAATTTTGATAATTACAAAAGCCAGCACTTACTGAACCATCCACGGTGCTAATAAGCCAGTCACACTAATTCCTGTTCTCATTTAATTCTCACACGACCCTAGGCAGTTCCGCATCCATATCTCTGTGTTACACTTGAGGAGAAGAGAGTTGATTCACCTATTTAAGGTCACGTGGGTGGTAAGATGCCAGACTCAAGATTTGGATCCCAGTTCGCGGACCCACCCCCAGCTACTGAGCTGACCACAGTGGGCTGGAGGCTCACTGAGCTGCCAGGAGCCCTCACAGATGAGCCAGAATGGAGATTGTGCAGAATGGCAGCGGACAGCTGAGACAGCTGCTAAGTCAGCTCTCAAACCTACCTGCTTTTCTGAACATCCTCAGGCAGGCGCTTCTCTCTTCTCAGGCCACACTTTAGTTCATATTTATTTAGTGGGACATGTGAGGATATTTACCCACTAACATCATTAGAGACACTTCTTTAAGTGTATTTATAAATTCCGCTGAGTCCTTACACCCCATATTATTTCATGGAGATGAGGCTTTTTCTTTTTCTCCAGAATTTCTATCTGGACCTGGGAGTCTCCTAACTATGAATATAAGTAGGGAAGTGATTTCTCTGCTAATCCAGGAAACAGCGCTTTGAATGGAGGAGAGGGAAAGCAGATGTGGCTCCTGAACATACTTTCTAGCTAGAAGGCTGAAGAGAAGGAAAATGTTTTGCAGTGTAATTGATCTGATGAGCTGTCATCTTCCTGTGGAGGGCTTTGCTAAGTCCTAAAATGTTAGCATGTTGACCATATCCAACGCTGGCCCTTCCCTTTGCATCACATCCATTTGTCCATCAAAACAGCAAATAGGACAAGGTCAGGAAGGATGGGGAGAAAGGACTGAAGGTTTGCTGCCTTTCTCTCCATAGCTTTGCCCTTGTATCTCAGAGGGGACAGAGCATTCCAATTAAACCAACGTGTGGGACACCTACCTGAGCCATCTGGGTATCCACCATAGAAGAAAGGATTGACCGAAACACTGCTTGTTTTCCTGGAATCTAGAGTTCCAAATAAAGATTTGGAGAAAATGGCTTATTAGATATGACCCAGAAATATGATTTTTAATCTTTGATGGGATGAAAACAGCCCATTACTTTAGAAATCCAAAAATTACACTCATTGCCTGAGTGGATTTCTGGGCTGAATATTTGCTAAGTAACCCGAATTGGCATCTGTCTTTAGTCATAATTGCCCATCAAAGTGGAAGCAAGGAAATATTTCCTATTTAACTTACAGTTCTAGCCTGATCCTCAGTTCTATTCAGTCATTCTTTTGCGAGCCCTGTTGTTTCTCAGCTCTTAGCCCTGGGTCTGAGGGTTAAGAGATCAACCACTATAAGTTTTGGCATCCCATGGTAGACATTCAGGACAGTGTGGGAACTTTGAAGAAGAATAGTCATTTTCTCTTCAGCCAGAGGATTTGCTGAATACTAGGTGCTCAGAGGAGACAAAAGTACATAAAACTATGTCACTGCTTTCAAAATCGGATTGGGGAAGTAGGTGTACATCTAGAAAACAATATGCAACAAGATATAATCGAGCAAGCCCTGTATTGCCAATTTTGTAGAATATTAAAAATATATTTGAATGGTACTAAAAACAGGTTTATATTATTGCAAAGGTTAGAGGGCTCAGTGAAAAGAATATAGACTCTGGAACCAAACCAACCTGTGTCAAATGCCAGGCCTTACTAGCTGTGTCACCTATAGGAATAGCAATAGTCCTTATAGGATTGTTGTAAAAACTAAAAGAGAGAATATATGTATATGTGCAGCTTTAAAAGATGTCCAAATAAGTCTTACAAAAGAATCCCAGATAATCTAAGTAGATACTCCTCCAGGGGGTAAAAGTTAACTCCCTCACCTTGAGTATAGTCTAGATTTGTGACTCGCTTCCAAAGAAGAGAGTAGGCAAAGGAAAAAATACTAAATGTACAGAGAAATCTGGTAGATACCCCCTTTAACCAAATGATCAAGGTTAACATTATGAGAGAGAAGTCATGTTGATATGATGTATTCCCTGAAGTGTTCTGATGAGAAGAGCACTTTACCTCTGTGGTAATCTTTCTAAAAACTCTTAACCCCAGTTTAATCATGAGAAAATATGTCAGACAAACCCAAATTGAGGGACATTTTGAAAAATAAGTGACCAGTATTCCTTAAAACTGTCAAGGTCATGAAAAACATGGAAAAATTGAGAAATTGTCACAAACCAGAGTAGACATTGTAACCAAATGCAATATAGTATCCTGGAAGGACCTTGGAAGAGAGAAAAGGACATTAATGAAAGAAAGTGGTGATATCTGAATAAAGTCTGGAATTTCATTAAAAGTAACATACTAATGTTCGTTCCTTGGCTTTGACAAAGGTACCAAAGTAATGTGAAATAATGACATTAGAGGAAAGTGAAACTCATTGTGGGGTATATAGGGAATTTACTGTATTATTTTTATAATTTTTCTATAAATCTATTCAGAAAAATTATTCCAAATGTGAAGTTCATTTTAAAATGCATCAAATTCTGGGCGCCTGGGTGGCTCAGTTGGTTAAGCAACTGCCTTCGGCTCAGGTCATGATCCTGGAGTCCCGGGGTCGAGTCCTGCATCAGGCTCCCTGCTCAGCGGGGAGTGTGCTTCTCCCTCTGGCCTTATCCCCTCTCATGCTCTCTCTCTCATTCTCTCTCTCTCAAATAAATAAATAAAATCTTAAAAAAAAATAAAATGCATCAAATTCTTTGATACTCCTACCTTCAAAAGATGGAGATTGATTGCCCTTCCCTTGAATGGACTGTATTTAGTGATACACTTCTAGTGATAAAATGTGGCATAGATGATGACATGTAATTTCAAGACCAGGTCATAGAAGGCAAGTGACTTCCTTCTTGCTCTCTGTGGGATCATTTGTTCTGGGGAAGCTTGCTGCCATATCATGAAGTTACTCAAGTAGCTAAGAGGAGGCCCACATGGTAAGGAACTGGGGACTTCTACCAACAGCCAGCAAGAAACTAAGTTTTTCTGCCAACAGCCATACCACTGAGCTTACTTATAAAAGGACCATCCAGCCCCAATCAAGCTTTCAGATGACTGCAGCCCTGCCTGATATCTTGCCTACAGCCTCTAGAGGAATCTTGAACCAGAACACTGAAGGAAGAGGCTCCCAAATTCCTGACCACAAAAACTGTGTTATTTGAAGATTTATTTATTTATTTATTTGAGAGAGAGAGAATGAGAGACAGAGAGCATGAGAGGGAGGAGGATCAGAGGGAGAAGCAGACTCCCTGCTGAGCAGGGAGCCCGATGCGGCACTCGATCCCGGGACTCCAGGATCATGACCTGAGCCGAAGGCAGTCGCTTAACCAACTGAGCCACCCAGGCGCCCCAAAACTGTGTTATTTGAAGCCACTAAGCTTTAGGGTAATTTGTTTTGCAGCAATAGATAACTAATACAGTATGAAACATGGTTAGCATATTGGCTGGTATATATAAGTATTCAATAAATTATAATTTCTATTATTATTGTTCAGAAATGATTATTTTTTTTCCTCTATTATCTAGACCTCACATTTCCTCTCCACTTGGAACAGTGATTCTTAACCATGACTACACATTAAAATCAGCTGTTGAGCTTTTAAAAAAAAATTCTAAGGCCCAAGGCCTTAGATCAGATTAATTAAACTAAAAATTTTAGGATGAGCCCCATCAGTATTGTTTTAAAATTCCCTTAGTAATTTTCATACTCAGCCAGAGTAAAGGACCATTGCTATAGAAACAGCAGCATTTAAATAGGGACTACCTAAGGGAAACAAAGGTAAAAATGAACTACTGGGACTTCATCAAGATAAAAAGCTTTTTTGCATAGCAAAACAAACAGTCAACAAAACCAAAAGACAACGGACAGAATGGGAGAAGATATTTGCAAATGATATATCAGATAAAGGGCTAGTATCCAAAATCTATAAAGAACTTATCAAACTCAACACCCAAAGAACAAATAATCCAATCAAGAAATGGGCAGAAGACATGAACAGACATTTCTCCAAAGAAGACATCCAAATGGCCAACAGACACGTGAAAAAATGCTCAACATTACTCAGCATCAGGGAAATACAAATCAAAACCACAATGTGATACCACCTCATACCAGTCAGAATGGCTAAAATTAACAAGTCAGGAAACGACAGATGTTGGCAAGGATGTGAAGAAAGGGGAACCCTCCTACACTGTTGGTAGGAATGCAAGCTGATGTAGCCACTCTGGAAAACAGTATGGAGGTTCCTCAAATGGTTGAAAATAGAGCTACCCTATGACCCAGCAATTGCACTACTGGGTATTTACCCCAAAGATATAAATGTAGTGACCCGAAGGGGCAGCTGCACCTCAATATTTATAGCAGCAATGTCCACAATAGCCAAACTATGGAAAGAGCCCAGTTGTCCATTGACAGATGAATGGATAAAGAAAATGTGTGTGTATACACACACAATGGAATATTACGCAGCCATCAGAAAAATGAAATCTTGCCATTTGCAATGAGTGGTTGGAACTAAGCAAAATAAATCAATCAGAGAAAGACAATTATCATATGATCTCACTGATATGTAGAATTTAAGAAACAAAACAGAGGATCATAGGGGAAGAGAAGAAAAAAATAAACCAAGATGAAACCAGAGAGGAAGACAAACCATAAGAGACTCCTAATCATAGGAAACCAACTGAGGGTTGCTAGAGGGGAGGGTAGGTGGAAGGATGGGGTTACTGGGTGATTGACATTAAGGAGGGCACGTGATGTAATGAGCACTGGGTATTATATAAGACTGATGAATCATAGGTCTGTACCTCCAAAACCAATAATACATTATATGTTAATTAATTGAATTAAATTAAAAATGTTAAATACATACCTACATACATACATACATAGGGGCTACCAAATTTCTAAGACTTCTGAAGTTAGGACCATAAAGTTGTATTTTCTTACTATTCTTACTATTTCATCAAAATAGGCTTTATGCATTGGGGAAATGTGTTGCAAAAAAAAAAAAAAATCAAAAACTATCCACTGAAATAGCCTGTGATTATATAGCCTCCTTTGAAAGAAATGAAACAATCTTTAACTAAAGGAGTTTATCAACTAGACAGAGAAACCACAGGATAATTCTATTGACCTTACAGCAGCAAAACAGATTATTTGTGGACTGTATTCCAAAGGACAGTTAATGTTTTCCTTGGTTAATGTACTGAACTAGAATTCCTTCTTTCCAGTTTATATTTTCTTTCTGTCAAGCATAACTACCAAAGCAACATTTGCTGTTTATAAATCTAAGAGAATTAGCTGCATAAGGCATCTAGGAAAAAATAAATCACCAATTTGTTTAAATACTCTTTATTTGACCCCCCCAAAAAAGTCTTTGTATTTATTTTTTAATTAAGTTTTTCATTTTAATTTCAGTATAGTTAACATACAGTGTTATATTAGTTTCAGGTGTAAAATACAGTAATTCAACAATCCATACACCACTCAGTGCTCATCGTGATAAGTGCACTCTTTAATCCCCACCACCTATTTCACCCACCTCCCCACTCACCCCCTTCTGATAACCATCAGTTTGTTCTCTACAATTAAGACTGTTTCTTGGTTTGTCTTTCTCTTTTATTTTTCTTTTCTCTTTTGTTTCTTAAATCCCACATGTGAGTGAAATTATATGGTATTTGTCTTTCTCTGACTGAAAAGTCTTCATATTTTATACTGAAAGCACGAAGCCATGAAACAGAGAGCATATAATTAATGTAGAAGACTTTATTTCATCTTCTTGTATAACCCAAGGAAGAAAATAATCCACCAGGAATGAGGTCTCTATCAAAATCAGTTTTGACCTTTCTATTTTGTCATCTGGATAGCTCATTGGCAAAGGGATGAAGAAAATGGTAACTTCTGAGATCAGCAGGCCCATTATGGTCCAATGAAGTTTTGTTACTTAGATTTGGATACTAGGTTGAATAT